TGACCACTTGAGAGTACTGTAGCCTCAGCATTTCTGCAGCCTCCTTGGTCGTCGCTGAAACACACGCTAAAGTGTAAGTGAATGCGTAGAGAAATGGCAAAACTAGTTATGACCAAATCCGAGGGAGGTGTTTTAATGACCAATTTCTGTATCTCTCCGTTTTTTCTACGTGTTCATCTGGTAGGTACTTGGAGGTCTTCACATACATCCGCCTCACAGGTTTAGATTTTCTATTCGCGCCTCCGGAACGATGAACAATTTTGTCAGAATGTTTTCAGTAGATGTGCACCCCATAGCTATGAATTGTTCATCTCGACCCAGAATGCTAGAACCGATTTGAACAAATATTTAGGATTTACCGCTGATGCAAAGTTCACTTGGATAACTTAAAAACTATAAATGACTGTAAACTCCTCGAAATTTATCTTTTCGAGGAGAAACACACGCACACCCACACACAGATCAATTGCTGGTAGACCGGACAGGAATTCATTTTCTTTTACCTATGGATAGATTTTTTCATGCCTTTCATAGGAACAGCGAACAAATCTGTCTATGTGCACGGAGGTGAAAGAAATTCAAAGTTGGCTCTCAGGTACCGTAAGCAGAACACTACACGCGGCCCAATTAAATACTGTGTTCACATCTAAACCGATAATGTTTTCTCGACCGAAGGACAGAGTGCCAGATTCTACAGCGTCATTCTGTCTACACATTCACCTGTACCCGTGGCAATGGGTACATTGGCCGCAAGACCAGGAGCGTTTGGGAACATCACTCGGCTTTGCTGATGACTGGGACAATTAAGACATTCACGAGTGCGGTGTGTTCGCATGTCGTTGAATCAAATAACTCAGTTGATTTGGCAAATGTGTTCCGACCGATTGACAAGGTTCGATCTAGGCAATCAAGATTAGTGAAGCGTCGAATCTTAGTCGTAAGCATTCGGATTCAGAACCACCCCCGTTCAGAAGATCAATTTCACAGTTGCACACATGCACGCATCACTGGAACCAGAGCTAAACAATTAGGACTCAAATCTCTTATTCTCATTTTGTTCTTATTGTTAGTCATATCTTGTGTAATGTAATGGCAAGATTCCGAATAACTGAAAACGAGCTTGTTCCATTGGGGAATATGCATGGCTGAAATCAATTTTTGGTATATTTGTGGCCACCCACCAATGTGGAATGTAAATCCTCCCTCCATACTTGGTACTGGATCTCTGTCCAGGTAGGCGAAACGGTTCACAGTAAGCGTATAGTCATCGCTAATTCGAATGGAACCATCTGGTTTACTCACGGGGACTATCGGTGTTCCCCATTCAAAGTACTGAACTGGTTTAGTTATTCCTTCCTTCTGTAATTTCTTCAATTTTTTCTTCTACCTGCACTCTGGATGGGTATTTGTTTGATATTTGATTGGAATCTTTTCAGTTCCGCGAGTTGCCGATAAATGTTTAATTTTTGTTCCCAAAGTTACTTAGGAGACCACCTGATCCACTGTATCCGAATCCGTTTGGCACATTTCTGATCCAAACAAATTGGAACATTAGTTTACTACAAGATGGAAAAGCATTATGCGTTTCTGCCCATATAACGCCGGGATTGAGTGGCCCATGTTGGTTCTCAACGTGGACTGACAACTAGTCAACTGGGGTAGGTTCTTGACAGTCGACACAGATGCTTCAACATCAACGCCCGTTTGAACAGGTGGTCCTTCTGTTTCGACGTGTATGTGATGAAACGGCGGCCGTTATTACCCACA